CCCCCAAAACCCCAAAACCCCAAAACCCCTTAAATTAGTGTAATTCTTGAAAATTAAAATATGGACTCTGAGGCTACTATTCCTGAAAAGATTAAAGGTGTCCTAGAGACATGGTATAAGGGATATGATAGAGATTCACCAGGTGGAAAAGAGGAGTTTGATAGGTGGTTCAATGCAAGTTGTAAGGCTTTCTTAATACTTCTCTTGTTCTAGTGCTAATAAAGATGTGCTATAGCTGAATATGACCAAGAACTAACTGAGAAGCATCAGAAAGATCTTGAGGAGGTCGTAGCAGATGAAGGACAAAGCTGGAGTGAGCATGAAGATGGTAATTCTAACCTATAATTCTTCTACTCGTTAGCATTAATACTTCGGATTTACTCTGAATCTGGGATTTACCAACACTTATATCTTAGACCTTGAGTGATATTAGCCTTCAGTAAAACAACCATGATAACATTCTATAGGAAGGCTAGCAGCAATCATTTTGATTGACCAAATGTCCAGGAATATCTACAGAGGAACTTCCAAGGCCTTTGAAAATGACCACATCGGCCTGAAACTAGCAAAGGAGTATGTTGATAGTGGAGACTGGGAGAACGCTAAATTCTTAGATAAGCAGTTCATCCTCTTGCCTTTTGAACATCAAGAGGATGTCAAAGTTGCTCAAGAATGTGTCGGTAAGCTGCATCTTAGTAAATAAACTTCTAGAGCTTGGTGAAAAATTCCAAGAGATGTACAAATGCAGGAACTGCAAGTGGACCGACGGAAACTGTATTACTTTCGTTGAATATGCAAAGAAGCACGTAGATATCCTGGAGAAGTTCGGGAGATATCCGCACCGTAACAAGGCACTCTGTAGGGAATGCACTGAGGAAGAAATAGAGTATCTTAAGACAGCAGAAACTTTTAATCAGAATAAGTAATATGTGTCGAACATTCAAAATTCATCTATTGAAGAGGGGTTTTGGGGTTTTGGGGTTTTGGGGTTTTGGGGTTTTGGGGTTTTGGG